AAATTATCGAGGGGAGAGAAACTCCTGCAGATGATTAAACTGGACGTCGTGGAGTGGTCGATATTTGAGGCGACTCCCATCGCTTATGAGGAGTTTATTTCTGCCCATGGAAGAATAAACACCAGACAAACAGCCACTCAGACACGAGAGGACGATCTCGACGTGGAGACCCAGACGGAGGAAATAAAAACGAGGAACATGTGGACGCAGTTTCCAGTGGTCTGTAGGAGTCATTTGGAGAGTAATGAGGATATCGATGAGTTCAATCGAGAGCTGGTGGGTGTGGGGTGCCAGGAGGAGGATGTCCAGAGCCAGAGGGCAGTCTACGATGCCCTGAAGCTGAATGAGTTCCTGGGAGCTGCTGGGAGGGTGATGCTGGCGTTGCTGGAGGAGAGGAAAGAGAGGTATCACCCCGGGGCAGAGGGTGGAATGGTTTTTAGTGGGGGAAGACTGGAGCTAGACGTCTCCAGGGTGAATTTTCTCAGTGGGAGGCCTGTGCTGATGGTCAGATACTCAGAGGTCAGCAGAATTTTATTGAGCATTCATGCACCTGGGGGTGAGGACGACGTCCAAACCTCCGAGGAGGAGTTCTATGGCATCGAGTGCTGCATTGGCTGCCTCTGGAACATCCACGAGCCCTCGAGTCCCATTAAACTATTTTATTCTGGCAGCAGAGTCTCTGCTGTCTGCATGCATCCTGTTCATTATAATATTGTCATCGCTGGGCTGGAGGATGGGTCTCTCAGTCTGTGGAATTTGGAAGAAGAGGAGTGGTACCACAAGCGAGTTGTTGATAAAGATAATAATGTCGAGTGGGTTCTCAGGTCACCCACTTTTTCCACTGTTGGCACCTTTGAGGATGAGGGATGTGCCAGAATTGTGGCCTTGAAGGTTCTAGATAAAATTGAGAGTGAGGAGAGGTCAGGAAAATTCAGACCCATTCAGGTAAAAATTTTCAATGACAATATTACGTACCACTGACCTTCTGACAGCACTAGCAATATTTTTCACTTATTTATGCACTTTCATCAGATCTGCAGTCTCGATGAGGATGGGAACTGCACAATCTGGAGTGTCCTAAGGACCCTAGACATCTCTTCGTCGAGTCAACCTCTGGGGCAGTCGTACTGGGGGAAAATAAAACTCGTTAAGAGCCACAAGATCTCTCTCTCCCTGGAGAAGACGGAGGCTAATGACTTCATGACTGCCTTCAGAGATCTCAGTGTAGATCCCACTAATACGAATAATTTATTCATTGCGAGTAACACGAATAAATTATTGCACGCCACGAGGACTGGGAAGAGAATGAGGCCCTCAGTTTGTGATGGGAATTCCATAGGTAAAGGGAATTTTTTCGAGAGAATAA